GCTCTGTTCCTCCTCGCAGCGGCTCTTGGCTCAACCGTCGGACAAAGGGGGTAACCGCATCGCGAGGCGCTTTTTAGATTCGCTTCCGCAGCCGCCTGGAACGCTCTTCCGTCTGATAATAGGAAGCCATTGGAGCTACGCACTTTGAAATAATCTAGATTGAAACAATAATTTCTTCAAAACTGCTTTTTGTGTTAAGTTTGTCCCCCCCCCCCCCCCCCCCCGCACCACAGATTAGCAAGGTTGGCGAAGTACGGTGCGAAAGGAGCTCAACATACATCCATAGATAGGCTCAAACAGAGACCCTTAGACTCCTCACACAGAGACCCATAGACTCACAAGGAGACCCAAAGACTCACACAGAGGCCCATAGACTCCTCACACAGAGACCCATAGACTCCTCACACAGAGACTCGTAGACTAACACAGAGACCCATAGACTCACACGGAGACCCATAGACTCCTCACACAGAGACCCATAGATTCCTCACACAGAGACCCATAGACTCACACAGAGACCCATAGACTCCTCACACAGAGACCCATAGACTCACACAGAGACCCATAGACTCCTCACACAGAGACCCATAGATTCCTCACACAGAGACCCATTGACTCCTCACACAGAGACCCATAGACTCCTCACACAGAGACCCAAAGACTCACACAGAGACCCATAGACTCCTCACACAGAGAACCATAGACTCCTCACACAGAGACCCAAGGACTCACACAGAGACCCATAGACTCCTCACACAGAGATCCATAGACTCCTCACACAGAGACCCATAGACTCCTCACACAGAGACCCATAGACTCCTCACACAGAGACCCATAGACTCATCTTCTTTGGTTCTTTCGGTAAAGTCACGTAGAATGAGAATAAAATAATAAATTGATAAAATAAAATAACACAATAATATTCTCACGACGTTTCGGCCACAACACAAGCGGCCTTCATCAGGTGAAGGGGACGAGACTGTCTGGAGGACAGCGCTCCTCACACAGAGACCCATAGACTCCTCACAATACAGAGACCCATAGACTCCTCACACAGAGACCCATAGACTCCTCACACAGAGACCCATAGACTCCTCACACAGAGAACCATAGACTCCTCACACAGAGACCCAAGGACTCACACAGAGACCCATAGACTCACACGGAGACCCATAGACTCCTCACACAGAGACCCATAGATTCCTCACACAGAGACCCATAGACTCACACAGAGACCCATAGACTCCTCACACAGAGACCCATAGACTCACACAGAGACCCATAGACTCCTCACACAGAGACCCATAGATTCCTCACACAGAGACCCATTGACTCCTCACACAGAGACCCATAGACTCCTCACACAGAGACCCAAAGACTCACACAGAGACCCATAGACTCCTCACACAGAGAACCATAGACTCCTCACACAGAGACCCAAGGACTCACACAGAGACCCATAGACTCCTCACACAGAGATCCATAGACTCCTCACACAGAGACCCATAGACTCCTCACACAGAGACCCATAGACTCCTCACACAGAGACCCATAGACTCATCTTCTTTGGTTCTTTCGGTAAAGTCACGTAGAATGAGAATAAAATAATAAATTGATAAAATAAAATAACACAATAATATTCTCACGACGTTTCGGCCACAACACAAGCGGCCTTCATCAGGTGAAGGGGACGAGACTGTCTGGAGGACAGCGCTCCTCACAAAGAGACCCATAGACTCCTCACACAGAGACCCATAGACTCCTCACACAGAGACCCATAGACTCCTCACACAGAGACCCATAGACTCCTCACACAGAGACCCATAGACTCCTCACACAGAGACCCATAGACTCCTCACACAGAGACCCATAGACTCCTCACACAGAGAACCATAGACTCCTCACACAGAGACCCAAGGACTCACACAGAGACCCATAGACTCCTCACACAGAGATCCATAGACTCCTCACACAGAGACCCATAGACTCCTCACACAGAGACCCATAGACTCCTCACACAGAGACCCATAGACTCCTCACACAAAGACCCAAAGACTCACACAGAGACCCATAGACTCACACAGAGACCCAAAGACTCACACAGAGACCCATAGACTCCTCACACAGAGACCCATAGACTCACACAGAGACCCATAGACTCACACAGAGACCCAAAGACTCACACAGAGACCCATAGACTCCTCACACAGAGACCCATAGACTCACACAGAGACCCATAGACTCCTCACACAGAGACCCATATACTCACACAGAGACCCATATACTCACACAGAGACCCATAGACTCACACAGAGACCCATAGACTCCTCACACAGAGACCCATAGACTCACACAGAGACCCATATACTCACACAGAGACCCATAGACTCACACAGAGACCCATAGACTCACCCCCCTTCGCGATCGCTCAGCCCTAGACACATCGTTCACCCACGAGGGGCCGACACGCGCGGTGTCGTCACGTGCGCGCGTTCGCCGTAACGACAGTGAACGTTTACTGAACTTTCATTCCTCCTGAACCCTCATTCCTACTGAACCCTCATTCCTACTGAACCCTCATTCCTACTGAACCGTTATCCGTGGCCAATAAAACCCAAAATGCTCATTCACATCGTTAATAATGGCTTTGACCCTTTCTGGCAAACGAAACATTTGCGTTCAGAAGCACACTAACAAATGCAATGCAAGTATGAAAGTATTAATATCTCGGGTTGAGCAGTCATATTTATCTGGCAACAAAAAATAAAAAGGTCCCGTAGATATGGCGGCCGCTCGTGCCGTGACGCTGTGGCGGTGGAGAGACTTTGGTGTGCCCCAAAGTCGCCACCCGAGAGAGCCGCAGTCGGTGGGAGCTTCGGGCTCCTGGCAGGTTTAACCCTCCCGGATTGGTTTCAGGCGAGAGGCCAGACGAAGGCCAGAGGCACGGGACCTCCAAAGTTTGGGGGGATTGAAGTGTGGCGCTAACAACATCCACCCCGTAAATATAAAAATAAAATAAAAAATAAGCTACGGAAAGCTACAGAAACTACAAAAAAAAAGTTGTATCGCCAGAAAAGGGTAAAAAAAAGCATTGTTATTTTTTATGTCGTGATAATAACAATTTATCACGAGGCCTTTTTTTTGCCAGCATCAAAAAGTAAGAATAGGTTTAACCCGTTCTGGCAATGAAAAACAGGAGTTGTGTTCAAATGTTCGAACACCGAACAGAAACTTAATTTACCGAAAACGGTACTTTGTGGTGAACATGCAAACAGAACATGCTCTGATAATATGAGAACAGGGTTTACCCTTTCTGGCAATGAGACACGTGTTAAGATGTTCAAACAGAAAACATTAGCAAGGAATCATGTCTCCATTAACCACGCATGTTCACCACATGTTCACCGCATGTTCACCACAAGTGTGTGTGGTTAATGCAGACAGGATTCCTTGCTAAAGTTTTCTGTTTGGTATTTGAACACCTTAACACCTATATATTCTTGGTTCTTTCGGTAAAGTCACGTATTATTTTATTGTTTCCCTTCTACGTGACTCTACCGAAAGAATCAAGAATATGAATCCCTGAAGTCACGAAAGCTTTAAATCAAAATTTAACCACCTTAACACCTGTTTTATTTCCAGAAGGGTAAAACCTATTCGTATACTTTTAACCTTGCAAGAAAAGTGCCATGTTGATGCTCTGATAATATTTGCATTGTCTTTTAAACCGATTGGCCTTACAGTTCTCGATGGCCTAGTCTCACTAATCACTTACCAACAACAAGGACAAAAATTGCACGCAACTCGAACTTTCTCCTGCGTCTCGCTCGAAGGGATTTGTGTGCGTGTGCCTTCATCGTGGGCTGTTATCCACGCGCCCTCTCGTCATCTCCTCCTCTCTCGTGGTAGCTCCCGAGCGCGGCGAAATTCATTCGTGTGCCTCCCCGCGCCCCTTTCGAGATCTTTTCCTAATCGCGCGACTGGAGTTAACGCGCCGGTCTAAATACTCGACTTCGAAAAGGAGACCAAAATAACGATGAATCGTAATGATAGTAATAATATGCCGACGGACGAAAAACTCAAAATCGCATCGCAACAAAAATATCCGCCGCTCATTAAAAAAAAACCCAATTTCGCCCTCCCCATCGCCAATTTCTTTATTAGTTTGCCATAATTCGTAATCGGCGTCATTTTTTTTTTGCCGGTGCACCAGAAGAGGTGTCTTAGCAGCGTACATCGCAGCACGCCGGCCGATCAAATGAAAACCTCGGCGACTGCCAAGCAAAAATGAAAAAAAAAGCGATCGAGCAAATCAAGAGATGGCACAAAATCCATCTCCACGCCTGCACGGTAAGCGAGGTCTGCGTTTGACGTCTCCTCCACGGGGTGGTATTCGTCTGTCCTTGACTAACTCGCCCAGGAGGCAGAGCCACGCAGGGTCACGGCGCGGACTCTTGATCGAGCGATAATCCTGGCGTTGCATTGGCGGCTTGTTTTTTCTGTAACGATTTAACTTGAACTCACTCAATTCTAGATTTGAAGCTTTCGTGACTGCAAGGATCCATACTCTTTGGTTCTATTCGGTGAAGTCACGTAGGTAAGAAAAATAAAACAACAAAAATCACGACGTTTCGGCCACTTGTGTTGTGGCCGAAACGTCGTGATTTTTGTTGTTTTATTTTTTTTACCTACGTGACTTCACCGAATATAACCAAAGAGTATTGAACTCAATCAGCCAGGAGGAGAGCCAATCGCCCTCCCGATCGCCCTCCCGATCGCCCGCCCGATCACCCTCCCGATCGCCCGCGCGCCCGATCACCCACAACGATCGACCTCCCGCCCGATTGCCCTCCCGATCGCCCTCCCGATCGCCCGCCCGATCACCCACCCGCCCAATCGCCCGCCCGATCGCCCGCCCAATCGCACGCCCGATCGCCCTCCCGATCGACCTCCCGCCCGATCGCCCTCCCAATCGCCCTCCCGATCGCCCGCCCGCTTACCAGGCCGTCCTCGGCGGCGTCGGGCGACGTGACGGCGTAGTCGTTGCCCTCGGCGTCGAGGCCGTTAATCTCGACGCCCCAGTTGGCGTCGGGCTGCCTGAACCAGTTGTGCACCACGCGCCTGAAGTCGATCTCCTCCCAGCGGCCGCTGCGCGCGTCCACGCTCACGTTGCGCGAGCACATGTGCACGTGGCGCGGGGCGGCGCCCGCCACGGGCTGCAGGCGCGAGATCTTCACGATGACCGAGGTGGACTTCTTGGCCGGTCGCAGGTACACCCAGAGGCGCGCCTTGATCACCTGGTTCTGCATGCTGCGCGGCGTGAACTTGAAGAAGCAGCACTTGGGACGCCCGTTCGACTGCACCTTCTTGTCGGCTTTGGGGGTGCAGAGGGGGGAGAACACGCACGGGCAGACAAAGGGATCGGAGTGTTTGCTTTATAGTGCAGGAGGAGGAATCGGTAGAGCTATGAAGCTCTTTGGGGCCGTCCATAAATGACGGCATGCGATTTTGGACGATTTTTGACCCCCCCCCCCCTCCTTCGTCACACGACGTCACAATAAGTCAGACTCCCCCTCAAATATGACGTCACAAAGCTCTGCCCCCCCTCCCCCCCAAAAAATAAATAAAAGAAACATGCTTCAAATCGCTTTAAACTATTGCCATTGTAGTGCGTATTTAATGTGGCGCTGCACTCTGATGTTGTAGGAGATAACATTTATTAAAAAGTCTATTTAATTAAGTATAACGTCTTGATTTAAAGCTTTCGTGACTGCAGGGATTCATATTCTTGGTTCTTTCTGTAAAGTCACGTAGAAGAGAACCAAGAATATAAGTAGAACGTGTTGTCTATATTTATTTAAAGTTGCGCATTTTTATGTGACGTCACATTTCTCAAACACCCCCTCTCCCCGTCTTCAAACATCGTCACAAATGTCTGACTCCCCCCCCCCCCCTAGGTCCGTGACGTCATTTATGGATGGCCCCTGTTGTCCCAGTGAGGGGCCACGGGGTAAGAACGTTACAACGACAAACGGTACAAAAAAAACCACGATAAGAGTGGAAAGTATAAAGAAGACCTGGCCACAAATGATAGCTTGACAAAGTGGCTTATCACCTGGACATTAATAGCAACAAAAAGTATCTAAATAGTCGAAACGCATGCTTAAAAATGTGGAGGGATCGCCCGCATAGCCTGAACACTGTTGGGACAAGTGTTGTTAGCGAGCAGCACCTATGAATGCAGGCATGGTAGACGAGGAGGTGGGTGGCCGGCACCACGCCCGGCCGCCTTTGTCTCCCCAGTGGCGATGTTTTTACACACCCCACCAGATACTCACTTGAGGCTGAGTCGACCTAGGGGAGGCCCAGGAGCGGTTCAGATAATCGTCACCGGTGTTGGCCGTAAGCGGGAATCGACCTCGGGTGACCGGGTTCGTAGCACAGCGTAGCGCTAACCACTACACTACCGCTCCCACCATCAACAACAACAACAACAACCGCCATTCGCCACTAAGTGGCGGTGACGTCACCACGACGCTTGTGCCAGGCTATGTGCACCCTGAGGCCACGTGAAGTGTCGAACGCCCGCTGGCAGGAGGTCACGGGGCAGACCCAGGTGCTACGGGTCGACTGACTGAGATGACTGGCTGATGCACCACCTGTGCCCCCTACTGTGCCAACCTGCTGTGCTTTAGCCACCCGGCGCTCCGCTCGCTGTTGTGAGCGTCGCTCCTCCGCCCTCCGTTGTTGTTGGAGGGGCGACTGCCTCCAACTGCCCAGTAGCATCCTTCACGAGCCTCCTCCACAGAGGCCGATCTTGACACCGCTGGTACCAGTCATCGGCAAGTCCACTCAGCTCCACGTCCTCCTGTACCACATCACTCCATCTCTTCTCTAGCCCGTGCCGCGCCCGCTTAGCCCCCTCAATCCGGCCAAACAAAAGCTGTTTCGGCATGCGGTGGCTGGGCATGCGGGCTACATGACCCAGCCATCGCAGCCTTGTCTGCCGGAGGAGCTCACCGATGGGACCCTGCCCAGATCTTTCAAGGATTTGTGAGCTCCTCACACAATCCAGTCTGGTTAAACCCAGGATGGATCGTAGGCAGGCCAGCCTAAATGTTTCTAACCGGCGAAGATGTTCCATTAGGGGGGTCCCACCATCACACACACACACAGGCATACACACACACGAATGCACACACACGTATATATATACACGCATACACACGTGCATGCACACACACGCAGGCAAAGGACGGAACACCAAGGGAGAACAACCGTGCATGGTTGTTCGCCTGACAACAACGCACTGGGCGTGCACACCTCGAGGCGCCCGGTTCGATTCCCCGTGGTGCAAGTTCCTTCAACCATGGCCCCACTACCCTCCACCCCGACTACCCTCCACCCCTACTACCCCTCACCCCTACTACCCTCCACCCCTACTACCCCTCACCCCTACTACCCTTCAGCCCTACTACCCCCCACCCCTACTACCCCCCACCCCTACTACCCTCTAGACCTACTAGCCCCACCCCTACTACCCCCCACCCCTACTACCCCCCACCCCTACTACCCCCCACCCCAACTACCCCCCACCCCTACTACCCTCCAGCCCTACTACCCCCCACCCCTACTGCCCTCCACCCCTACTACCCCCCACCCCTACTACCCCCCACCCCTACTACCCCCCACCCCTACTACCCCCCACCCCTACTACCCCCCACCCCTACTACCCTCCACCCCTACTACCCCCCACCCCTACTACCCCCCACCCCTACTACCCCCCACCCCTACTACCCCCCCACCCCTACTACCCCCCACCCCTACTACCCCCCACCCCTACTACCCTCCACCCCTACTACCCCCCACCCCTACTACCCCCCACCCCTACTACCCCCCACACCTACTACCCTCCACCCCTACTACCCCCCACCCCTACTACCCTCCACCCCTACTACCCCCCACCCCTACTACCCCCCACCCCTACTACCCCCCACCCCTACTACCCTCCACCATCCCCCCCCGAACCTCCGTCCACCCAACAGCCACAACTGGGACTTGTGGAGGCTCCACGTTCAATTGCATCTCCCGGCGCGGTGATCTAAAGAGATCTAAAGAGCTTCGCAACAAGTTTTCCTGAATCTCCTTCCCGAGCCTCTTGTCCACCCAGCCAGTAAATTTTGATTTAAAGCTTTCGTGACCGCAGGCATTCATATTCTTGGTTCTTTCGGTCAAGTCACCACGTAGAAGGGAAACAATAAAATGCTCGTGGTGGGCGAGTGGGTCGGGGTGGGGGTCGGGGTGGGGGGGGGGTGGTGGAATCCAAGCGGGGTGCCCCGAGATGAAGCTGGTCTTGCCAAGCTTCCGAGGCCGAATGTTTACGGCTCGACGTTGATTTTCGCCAGGACGGATGGGCGCCGCCGCCGCCGCCGCGCGCGCGCGCGAGAGTTACTAAGCCAACGCTGTGTGTCATGCACCCCCTCCCCCCACCACTCCGCCACACAACACGGCCAAATAGATAAAGTTGTCACGTGGTGAGCAAACCCGTGCGAGTTGTTTCTGCTTCAGCGAAGCGACAAACCCGGTGCATTGCTGTAGAGCGTTCTCACAAGCCGCGGTTGATAGGGGATGTTAACTACCTCGCCTGGTATCCAGGAGGTCGTGGGTTCGATCCCGACCCTGACGATGCCTGCTGCTGTATATTTGGAGTTTGCGTCTCTCTCTCTCTCTTTCATCATGATCACGGTGGCTAGGAGATGTTAACTCCCTCGTCTGGTATGCAGGAGGTCGCGGGTTGGATTCCGACCCTGACGCCTGCTACTGTATATTTGGAGTTTGCGTCTCTCTCTCTCTCTTTCATCATGATCACGGTGGCTAGGCGATGTTAAATACCTCGCCTGGAATGGAGGAAGTCGTGGGTTGGATATCGACCCTGACGCCTGCTGCTGCTGTATATTTGGAGTTTGCGTGTCTCTCGCTTTCCCCCGTGGTCGATTGGATTTTTCTCCGGGATCTCCGCTTTTTCCCTCCACATGTAGAATCGACGTCACGCGTTCGAGGTGATTTGGCCGCTCTTAATGTCTAAGTGATAACGATAAGCCCACTTCGTTGAGCTATCACTTGCGACGGCCAGGGTCGCTTCTAAAAAAAAAAAATACGTAGCAGCTAAGTCGGGGGGGGGGGGGGGGGGGTGGGGCTTACCTGGTTAAAATAAAACAGTTTAACATTAATCTTCTTTGGTTCTTTCGGTAAAGTCACGTAGAATGAGATGATGAAGGCCGCTTGTGTTGTGGCCGAAACGTCGTGAGAATATTATTGTGTTATTTTATTTTATCAATTTATTATTTTATTCTCATTCTACGTGACTTTACCGAAAGAACCAAAGAAGATGAATCATTGCAGTCACGAAAGCTTTAAATCGAAGTTTAACATTAAATCTAGAATCTAGTTGAGTAACTACGAGCGGAGATGTCCCTGCGTGTTAGACGCCTGCAGGTTGCTGTCCATGGGGCCCGTGGTGCTGAAGCAGCTGTAGGCTGGCGTGATCGCTCACGTGACGACTCTTATCTAAATCTTGACTTAAAGCTTTCGTGGCTGCAGGAATGCATGTTGTTTGGGTCTTTCGGTAAAGTCACGCAGATAGGTTCAAAGAACAACAAAAAATGTTTTAAAAAATTTGAAAAAAATGTAACTGTTTTTTTAAGTGACTTTACCGAATAGAACCAAAGAGTATAGATCCTTGCAATCACGAAAGCTTTAAATCTAGGAAGGTTCAAAGAAAATAACAAAAAAATGCGACGTTTCGATTGCAACACAAGCAATCGTCATCAGGTGGAAAATGGCGATTGCTTGTGTTGTAATCGATGAGTCGTAGTCTTTTGTTATTTTCTTTTAACCTATCTACGTGACTTTACCGAAGGACCAAAACAATATGACTCGTATCTATTCATCCGTGTCGGGTGGAAGGAGGGTGTCATGACACGCACCTGCTTTGGCGATCGGAGCCTTACAATCGATAAGTGGATCACATTTGCGTATCCTCGGCTGTTTGGCCAGGGTCTGCTGCGTGTCGCCAATTCGATTTCCGCCAAAAGGAAATGATACAGGAAGTATTGACAGTGTGTTGATATGGATCTAGTAAGGACAGGGTTTTTTTTGTATTGTTGTTGCACAGATTGTAACATCTAGATGAATGAATAATAGTTTAATTCGTAGGCTTTTGCGACCAATATCATCCATAATACAGGTGTTTGGGTGGTTAGATCGCGTAAATATATAAATATGTCGTTAAACCCGCCACCACCCGACGCAGCCAATTAGTAAGGTTTGTCGCGTAAACAGAACGTGGCCAATTCGTTACGAGTGGGTCCGCAG